CTCTCCCTCCCAACTACTAAGCGAGGGTTCCATGAGTTACATGAATTGCCTCCCTCAGGGCCCCAGCAGTCATTTTGACAATGGTTCCTTAAGGACTTAAGCAAGGCAACTCATTACCTCCCTAGCCCCAAATTCCCTCCCAAGAAGGTTTAAGAGGTTGTAGTTCTTGCTTACTCTTTGTGCCTTGATAAGATATTTTCCAATTCTTTCTTAAAAAATTCTAAGGGGGGCAGAGCCAAGATGGTGGAGCAAGAGCAGTGACTTCCTTGAGCTATCCCCCAAGCCCCTCCAAATACCTGTAAAAAGTGACTTTAAACAAATTCTAGAGCATCAGAACCCACAAAAAGACAGAGTGAAACAAATTTCCTGCCCAAGACAACCTGGAGGGGCAGCTAGGTGGTACAGTGAATAGAGCTCTGGCCTTGGAGCTTAAATCCAGCCTCAGACATTTAACATTTACTAGTTGTGTGACCCTGGGCAAGTCATTTAACCCCAATTGCTTCACCAAAAATTAAAAAAGACTGTTACCCATCTGAGACAACCTAGATGATTGATTGGAAAGCTCTAACACACCAGGCTGAGAGGGGAACACAGTTCAGCATGGACGTGCAAGCAAAAACCAGGCCTCAGTAAACCAGGAGCAGGCTCAGGGGACTGAATCACAGGCAGCTGCGGGTGGTTTCCAGACTTCTCAACACACAAAGGCCAAAGACAACTTAGAAGGTCAATAGGAAAAGTCTGTGACCATGGTGAGAGAGAAGCTTGGTCTCAGCCCCAGTCTCAGTGTGGCCTGGGGCAGCAGCTGTTTCTAGCGCTCTTGGCCCACAGACTGAGGGGGAATTGAGTGGCTGATCAGAAGGGGATTACAGGGGTCCCTTTGCTGGTACTGAGGCAGGAATCTCTTGCTTTGCCTGTAATTGGATCTGGGTCACAGTTCTGGGTGGCAATCCTGGGGTGAGGAAGAGTGCTGGCATGGCAAAGCGTGTGACAGCAGTGGAGAGGGAATCCTCCGCACAGTTCCAAGGCAGCAAAGAATGCTTGTGGTCACTCATAGACCAGAGACCAGGCCAGGAAAGGAGTAAACACCTCGCCCTTGATCATACCTCCTTGGAAGAACTGAAAATTTACAGGTCCCTAGAAGTATATCTGAAAACAGCTGCACAAAGCCCCCAAAGCCTGAGACAGTACATTCTCCACACTGGAAGCAGACCCTTACCTTAACAAAGAGTTTAAAACTCAAATAATTGGCTGGGATCATGAGCAAACAGTACACACACAAAAAAAAGTCAGACCATAAAATCTTGCTTTGGTGACAAAGAAGATAGAAATATACAACCTGAAGAAGACAACAAAGTCAAAGCTCCTACATCCAAAGATGCCAAGAAAAATAAGAATCTATCCCAGGCCATGGAAGAGCTCAAAAAGGATTTTGAGAGCAACTAATAGAAGTAGAGGGAAAACTGGAAAGAGAAATGAGAGTGATGCAAGAAAATCATAAAAAATAAAAAGTCAACAGCTTGCTAAAGGAGACCTAAGAAATGCTTAAGAAAATAACACCTTAAAAATAGACTAACTCAAATGGCAAAAGAGGTCCAAAAAGCCAATGAAGAAAAGAATGCCTTGAAAAGGAGAATTAACCAAATGGAAAAGGAAATCCAAAAGCTCACTGAAGAAAATATTTCCTTAAAAATTAGAATGGAGCAATTGGAAGCTAGTGAGAAATCAAGACATTGTAAAACAAAACCAAAAGAATGAAAAAAATAGAAGACAATGTGAAACATCTCATTGAAAAAACAACTGATCTGGAAAATAGATGCGCGGGAGAGAACTTAAAAATTATTGGACTATCTGAAAGCCATGATCAAAAAAAGAGCCTAGGCATCATCTTTCAAGGAATTATCAAGGAAAACTGCCCTGATATTCTAGAACCAGATGGTAAAATAGAAATGGAAAGAATCCACTGATCACCTCCTGAAAGAGATCCCCAAAGGAAAACTCCTAGGAATGTTGTAGCCAAATTCTAGAGTTCCCAGGTCAAGGAGAAAATATTGCAAGCAGCCAGAAAGAAACAATTCAAGTATTGTGGAAACACAATCAGGATAACACAAGATTTAGCAGCTTCTACATTAAGGGACAGGGCTGGAATATAATATTCCAGAGGGCAAAGGAGATAGGATTACAACCGAATCACCTAGCCAGCAAAAACTGAGTATAATCCTTCAGGGGGGAAAAATGGATATTCAATGAAATAGAGGAGTTTTAAGCATTCTTGATGAAAAGATCAGAGCTGAATAGAAAATTTGACCTTCAAATACAAGACTCAAGAAAAGCATGAAGAGGTAAACAGGAAAGAGAAATCATAAGGACTTATTAAGGTTGAACTGTTTATATTCCTACATGGAAAGATGATATTTGTAACTCATGAGACCTTTATCAGTATTAGGGTAGTTGGAGGGAAAAAATTATATGATTAGATAGATAGATAGATAGATAGATAGATAGATAGATAGATAGATGGCACAGGGTGAGTTGAAGATGAAGGGTGATATCTGAGAATAAAATTAAGGGTGAGAGAGGATTATACTGGAGAGAGAAAGGGAGAGGTAGAATGGGGTAAATTATCTCACATAAAACAGACAAGAAAAGGCTTTTAGAATGGAGGGGAAGTAGATGAAGGTGAGAGGGAATGAGTGAATCTTATTCTCATCAGATTTGGCTTAAGGAGAGAATAACATACACACTCAATTGGGTATGGAAATCTATCTTACCCTACAGAAAAATAGGGAGGAAGGGGATAAGGGGGGGGGATGATAGAAGTGAGGGCAGATTTGGGGAGGAGTAATCAGAAGCAAACACTTCTGAGGAGGGACAGGGTCAAAAGAGAGAATAGAATAAGTTGGGGGTAGGATAAGATGAAGGGAAATATACTTAGTTTTCATAACATGACTACTATGGAAATGTTTTGTATGACTACACATGTATAACCTATATTGAGTTGCTTGTCTTCTCAATGAGGGTGGGTATGGAGGGACGAAAGGAGAAAATTTGGAACCCAAAGTTTAAAAAAAAATTGTTTTCACATGCAACTGCGAACTCAGATATATAGGTAATGGGGTATAAAAATCTATCCTGTTCTACAGGAAAATAGAAGGGGAAGGGGATAAGAGAAGGGTGAGGGAGATACAAGGGAGGGCAGATTAGGGGAAGGGGTATTCAGAATGCATGCCATCTTGGGGTGAGGGGAGGGATGAAATGAGAAAATTTGGAACTCAAAATCTTGTGGAAGTGAATAAATAAATTAATACAGAGGGGAAAAAATTGAAATATTCCATACAGTTCCTGGAGCTCGATTTTAGAAAGGATATTGATCAGCTGGAGAGTTTCCAGAGGGCAATCAAGATGGTGAGGGGCCTTTGGTTTATGCCATAGGAGGACCTATGGAAGAAACTGGGGATGTTTAGACTGGAAAAGAGAAGAATTGTCAGAGATATTATGGCTGTTCTCAAGTATTTGATAGCCTGTCTCATCTAGAAAAATGATTAGCATTGTTCTGCTTGGACCTAGAGGGCAGACCTAGAAGTATGTGTGGAAATTGCAAAGAAGCAGATTTAGACAATCAAAAACACTTCCTAACAAGAGTTATCCTGAAGTGTCCTGGGCTGTCTGAGGTAGTGAGTTCCTCTTCAAGCACAAGCTGAATGCTATTTGTCAGATATATTGTAGAAAGGTTCTTACTTAAACCCAGATTGAACTGGATGCCTACAAAGTTCCCTTTCAGCTATAAGAATCAATGATTCTACATGAATTGGAAAGTGCCCAACTTACCAGAGTCAGGAGCCGACATTCACATTCTTGCCTCTTATGGGGGACAGGATTGTTCAACATCAGTCTTTTGGAACCTGAGGTCAAAGCTAAGAAAAGTTTCCATGTTTTTGGCTGGACTTAATATCTCCTTTTTCAGTGATTATTAGAGATTTTCCAGACCTCATTTGAAAATCCTTGGTTCTCAGCGTTGGTCTGAGAATGGATCCGAGCATTATGAAAAGCAATTTGGAATTATGCTTTTAAAAAAATGACTAAAATGCCAATATCCAAGCTGAGCCTTCTTAGAGATAGAGAGGATGAGGAAGTGTCTCACAGGTATAATGAGGGAAAGGGAGGGTGGCTTGTGTAAATGTGCAGAGAGCAAAATGAAATATCAATTTCAGGAAACACCTAGGAGCCCAATTTGACTGATGTGTATAATACACAGAACCAGAGAATCATATAGACCATTAGAGGTCATCAAGGCAAATCCCTTCATTTTTACAGTTGAGTAAACTGAGGCCTAGAGAGGGCAAATGACATGCCCAAGATCCCACAGCTAGTAAATATCTAAGGCAGGATTTAAACTTGTTTCTCTGCCTCTCTTAGATTTCTATCCACTCTCCACATGAGGGGTGTGTGTGTGTGTGTGTGTGTGTGTGGTGTGTGTGTGTGTGTGTGTTTGTGGGAGGAGTGGGGCTGATCTATAATAGGCTAGGAAAAGTAGATTGGAGCTGGGTTGGGAGCATTAGACCCTTTTCTTGCAACAATCCTGTGAAGCTTGTTTATTTTCCTCATTTGACAGATGAGGAAACTGAGGCTTAGAGAAGAATGATAGGACCAAGGGTAAGACTTTTAATTTAAGGTCTAGCCCTCTTGCTATGATGTCACACAGCTTCATAAAGTCTATTTATAAAGTGTTTTACATGCTAGCAAAGCATTTATCATCCATTGTTCCAATAATTGAAGTCCCAAAGTTCCGGCAAACTGAATCATCTCCCACGTGAAGCCTTTCCTTATGTTCACAAGAAAGAGAGCCTCAGTAAGAATATTGCTTCAAATCTAGTGCTTTCCCCACACCTTACACTGCACTGCCTAGGTTTCTCCTTTTCAAAGTCCTGCTCCTTTGTCATCCCCAATGTGTGAGGCAGAAATAGTGCTGCCTTGTGGGATTCATTCTTGTCTTCCCTTCTTAGGTCTAGCCAAGCCCATGGGTCTGGTGGAAGGGCCAGGAGGACTAGGCCAGGGTGGCATGGCAGCCACACTCCGAGATGACAGCCATGAGTCTGAAACCAAATATGAAGAATATGGCTACAATGCACAGCTGAGCGACCGGATCTCCCTTGACAGGAGCATCCCAGACTACAGACCCAAAAGGTAAGTGAGAACCAACAATTTGCTCCCAGGTTTGGGGGGGGGGGCAAGGGAGGCAGGAAGAGAAGCCTTGAAGCACAGCCACGAGCCCTTTAGAATCCCTGCTTTCTTATCAGATGGTCTTCTACTAGACTGTGTTGTCAGTACCAGATGGTGGGGCTCAGACTAGTGGATCCAGCAGCCTGTATCCTCCTGGAAAGATAACTCTGTTTTCCAAACTTCTTCCATGTTCCTTTCCATATTATGCTAATTTCTGTCTCTATGTATATTATTTTGTCTTTCTGGAATACACTTCTCTTGATTCTTTCCTTCACCAAATTACACTCACTGTTCAAGGTCCAGCCCAAGCTCCTCTTCTCCAGAAAGCCTGCACTGACTACTTCAGACACTGTTGGTCTCCTCCTTCCCTAAATGGTCAATTAAGCAACAAGTATTTATTAAACATCTACTGTGTGTTAGATTCTGAGATAGGTGCTGGGGAGAAGGGAGGAAGGAAGAATGTGAGGTGAGGCGAGGCAAGGGGAGGCGAGGAAAGGGGAGGCAAGGAAAGGCAAGGAAAGGAAAGGCAAGGAAAGGCAAGGAAAGGCAAGGCAAGGCAAGGCAAGGAAAGGCAAGGAAAGGCAAGGAAAGGAAAGGAAAGGAAAGGAAAGGAAAGGAAAGGGAAGGGAAGGGAAGGGAAGGGAAGGGAAGGGAAGGGAAGGGAAGGGAAGGGAAGGGAAGGGAAGGAAGGAAGGGAAGGGAAGGGAAGGGAAGGGAAGGGAAGGGAAGGGAAGGGAAGGGAAGGGAAGGGAAGGGAAGGGAAGGGAAGGGAAGGAAGAAGGAGGAAGGGAGGGAGAAGGAAGGAAGAAAAGAAGGAAGGAAGGAAGGAAGGACAGAACAAAAAGATGAATGGAGGAAGGAAGGAAGGAGAGAAGAAAAGGAGGAAGGGAGGAAGAAAGGAAGGAGAGAAGAAAGGGAGGGAGGGAGGAAGGAAGGAAAGGAGGGGTAAGAGAAGAAGTGCCTGCTTCCAAAGGGCTTACATTCTATCAGCTAGGATAAGCAATTATTGAAGTCATTGTCCATTCCATTTTTGGGGGCCCTTAATCACCATCAGTCTAGATTTACTTGGCAGTCTGATTCCTTCATATGTTTGTCCATTTTTCTTCAAGTAGATTGTGAGCTTCCTGGGGTTAGGGAACTTGTCATATCTCCTTTGATATCTCTTACTGGTCTGACCCTGTACCAGAGCTGATTACAGCTTGCAAACATAACTAGACTCACACTTGCCTCTTTTTTAAGATTAATTTTTTGTTTCATTTTTAATTATTCCTAACTTGACAAACACTGACACAAACATTTTCATATGTGTGTTCAGCTGTTTCAGTAACGTCTGACCCTTTGTGACCCTATTTGTGGTTTTCTTGGCTGAGATACTGGAGTGGTTTTCCATTTCCTTCTCCAGCTCATTTTACAGAGGAGGAAACTGAGGCAAACAGGGTGAAGTGACTTTCCCACGGTTACATAGCTACAAAGTGTCTGAGGCCTGATTTGAACTCCAAAAGATGAGTCTTTCTGACTCCAGGCACTACGCTCTATCTGCTATGCCACCTATGTGCCCATTTTCATATGTAAATGATAGCAAAAGAGGATTGGATATGAAAATTTGAGTTTCTATTGCAGACAGGTTATATGTACATTTTGCCTTTTTAAAATTATTAATTTATTTTTAACATTCTTTTTTAAAATTTTGAGTTCCAATTTCTTTTCACTTTCCAACCCGCTCCCACACCCACTGAGAAGGCAAGCGATATGATATCAATTATACACATGAAATCATGCAAAACGTATTTCCAAATAAAAGCCAGAAAAATAAAGTAAGAAAATTATGCTTCAATTTACTCTCAGAGTTTGTCAATTCTCTTTGGAGGTGGATAGCGTTTTTCTATCATGAGTCCTTTGGAATTTTATTAGATCACTGTATTATTGATCAGAGTAGACAAGTCTTTCATAGTTAATCATCATTACAAAATTGCTGTAACTGTGCACAATGATCTCCTACTTCTTCTCACTTCACTTTGCATCAGTCCATAAAAGGCTCTTGCTATAATTTTTTTCTGAAACCATCCCCCTCATCATTTCTTACACTATAGTAGTACTCCATCACAGTCATATGCCACAACTTGTTCAGCCATTCCCCAATTAATGGGCTCCCCCTAGATTTCTAATTGCTTGCCACAACAAAAAGAACTGCTATAAATATTTTTCTCCCTATTGGCCATTTTCCTTTTTCTCTGATCTCTTTGGAATACAGACCTAGTAGAGATATTTCTATCTCAAAGGGGCACAGTTTTATAGCCCTTTGGGCATAGCTCCAAATTGTTTTCCAGAATGGTTGGATCAGTTCACAATCCCACCAGCAGTTTATTAGTTTACCTATTTTTCTCCTCACCTCTTCCAGAATTTGTCATTTCTGATAGGTGTGAAGTGGTACCTCAGAGTTGTTTGAATTTTCATTTCTCAAATCAATACTGATTTAGAGCATTTTTTCATATGACTATAGATAGCTTTGTTGTTTTCTTCTGAAAACTGTTTGTTTGTATCCTTTGACTATTTATCAATTGAGAAATGGCCCTTGTTTTTATAAATTTGACTTATTCTGTATTCAATATGTATTTGAAAAATAAGGCCTTTGTCAGAGAAACTTGCTATAAAAATTTTTCAGATTACTCCATTGTTTATGGTACCTTTTAGCATAATGTAGTTTCCCTGATTATCTCTTTTAATTAGGTCTATTTTTGAGTTTGCTTCATCTGAGATCATGATTGCTACCCCTGCCTTTTTTTATTTCAGATTAGCAAATTAGATTTGACTCCAGCCCTTTATTTTAACTCCCTGTGTGTCCTTCTATTACAAGTGTGTCTCTTAGAAACAACATTATTGGATTCTAGTTTCTAATCCATTCTACTGTCTACTTCCATTTTATGAGTGAGCTCATCCCATTCACTTTCATAGTTTTGATTACTGTGTATTTCCCTCCATCTCATTTTCTTCTGTTTCCTCCTCCTCCTCCTCCTCCTCCTCTTTCTTCTTCTTCTTCTTCTTCTTCTTCTTCTTCTTCTTCTTCTTCTTTCTCCTCTCTCTCTCTCTCTCTCTCTCTCTCTCTCTCCTCTCTCTCTCTCTCTCTCTCCCCCATCTCTCTCTCTCTCTTTCTCAAAAAGTCTATTTTGCTTCTAAACACTGCCTCCCTTAACCTGTCCTACCTTTTATCACCCCTCCTCTTATCCTCTGATTTCCCTATTGTGTGAGCTACTTTATAAATTTAAATTGGAACCATTTATATTCCTACATGGAAAGATGATATTTGTAACTCATGAGACCTTTCTCAGTATTAGGGCAGTTGGAGGGAATATACATACATGCATACATACATACATACACACACACACATTTCTTCACTTTTTGAACCAATTACAATAAGAGTAAGATTCAAACATTGCCCACCCATCCCCATTTTCCCCTCCACTGTAAAATCTCTTCCTTATTACTTCTTTCACATGAAAAAATTTCCCCATTCTCCCTCTTCCTTCCCTCTTCTCCCAGGGCATTCCTCTTTCACACTCTTTCTTTCTTTCTTTTTTTTTTTTTGGAGATCATTCCAACATAATCAACTCACACCCATGCCCTCTGTCTATGTAAACTCCTTTTAATGCCCAATAATGCTAAAGTTCTTGGGAATTATATATATCATCTTCCCATATAGAAATGTAAACTGTTTAACTTTATTGAGTCACTTATAATTATTCTTTCATATTTACCTTTTTATACTAGTTTGAATCTTCTGTTAGAATACCACTTTTTCGATTCATCTATGTTCATCAGAAATGCTTGAAAGTCCTTTATTTCATTAAATATCATTTTCAACAAAGGAGTATACTCAGTTTTGGTGGGTAGATTATTCTTGGTTGTAATCCTAGCTCCTGCATCTTTCAGAATATCGTATCTCTGCTCCTTTAATGTGGAAGCCACTAATCGAGTGCGATCCTGACTGTGTGAATTGTTTCTTTCTGGCTACCTGAAGTATTTTCACTTTGACATGGGAGCTTTGGGATTTGGCTATAATATTCCTGGGAATTTTCATTTTGGCATCTCTTTCAGAAGTTGATTGGTGGATTCTTTCAATCTCTATTTGATGCTCTGGATTTAAGATATCAGGGCAATTTCCTTGATAATTTCTTGAAATATTAATATAGGCTCCTTTTTTTTATCATGGCTTTCAGTTAGTACAATAATTCTTAAATTATCTCTTCTTGATCTATTTTCCAGGTCAGTTTTTTTCTAATGAGATATTTTGCATATTTTTCTATTTTTTTATTCTTTTGACTTTGTTTTATTGTTTTCATTTATGTCTTGTGAAGTCATTAGCTTCCATTTGCCCAATTCTAATTTTTAAGGAATTATTTTCTGCAGTGATCTTTTGCTCTTCTTTTTCTATTTGGCCATTTCTGTTTTTTAAGAAATTCTTTCCCTCGGTGAATTTTTGTGCCTCATTTACCAAACTATTAATTCAATTTTTATAACTTTCTAGCATCACTCTCATTTATTTCTCCATTTGTTCTTTTACCACTCTCATTTCTTTATTTAACTCTTCCAGGTATTTCTGCTGTGTTTGGGTCCAATGAGCATTTTTTTTAAAGGCAATCAGGGTTAAGTGACTTGCCCAGGGTCACACAGCTAGTGTTGTGTTTGGTCTAAGGCCAGAGTTGAACTCGGGTCCTCCTGACTTCAGGGCCAGTGCTCTATCCACTGTGCCACCTAGCTGCCCCACCAATGAGCATTTTTCCTTGAGGCTTTGGTAACTCTTTGCTCATTGTTGTTGTCTCCTGAGTTCATGCCTTGGTTTTCTCTGCCACCACGGTAGCTTTCTTTTTATGGTCAAATTCTTTTGGTTGTTGTTGTTTGTTCATTTCCCAGACTATTTCTTGCCTTTGAACTTTATGTTAATGGTGAGCTCTGTTCACTTGGGG